TTGTTCATGTTTGTTTTGGATGCCTTTTTCAGTTTTAATAGTGTAAGTGTCATATTAATTTATTAATCTTGACGCTCTTCCTCATTGCATGTCGGCAAATTCCGTCCCTGGCAGTGACGATGTAGAACTAATACAACGTCCTAAGTGGTTTTTAAAGGTAACCTGGGCTTAAATATACACCTTGGCAGGTTTCATAAACCTCCTGCCTCAGTGCCTGCAGTTTTTCCATCTCTAAATTCGGGCAAACAACCACTTTGATAAACTCTAGGTTATCTCAAAAATACATTACCCTTATAAGAAAGAATCCCGCGCTCTGCACGGCCCTCAGTCGCATATCACTCTTTTGGTAAACTTAAATCTACCCGGCGAAGCCCCCGAAGATATTGTAAAGATCCTTCAGAGATATTCCAACTAAATATCTCTGAAGAAAAAAGACGGTGGTATTCGACCTATAGCTATTGACTCCACATTTCGCCGTATAGCAATCCAAAATTTGCTGTCACCCTTTTTTTACCGTCAGTTTCAGCTGATTTCTGAAAGTAGTGGGTGGTGCTAAAGGTGAATGTCAAGAACGCTTGCAATATTGTAGATAGAGGTGCTTTGCTTTCAGTAATTAAAGGAAAAACTCCTACTATTTAAATTACCTCGGGAAACGCTACAATAAATCTACTAAACTTATTTTTAAAAACAACCTGTTGCATTCATCTGTTGGCGCTCAGCAAGGCGATCCTCTCGGGCCCGCTATATTTAGTTTGGCAATACAACCCATTATTGATTCGCTGAATTAAAAATTTTATGTGTGGTACCTCGATGACGAAACTATCGCTGGCGATATTACAAGAGTTCTTTCAGATTTTCACGTTGTTATAGAAAAATTCAAAAATATTGGTGTTTACCTAAATCATTTAAAATGCGAACTGTTCGATTCAGAATCAAAATTTTCACTTTATTATAATAATAAGTAAATAATAAATATAATCACTCCATCTCCTAGGTTCCCCTATGTTTGTTGATGCTATTCCGAGTTTTATTGATGAACTAATTTCAACAGTCATCCGATTTTTTTTAAATCAATCCTCACATGGCTTTGTATTTAACTCGTTTTTGCGCTTCTTTTTTTTTTTATAATAAATAGGCTTACGCTTGACGGCCACGCGACTGATGAAAAGCGACGTAGCAGCCTAAGGTGGGACGCGCTTGCCTAGAAGAAACCGATTGACTCGCGACTTGAAGAGCCCCAGATTATAAGTGACTGGAAACAGAGATTCCGGCAAAGAGTTCCACAACCTAGCTGTTCTAACTATATAGGTGGAAGCAAACCGTTTAGTACGAGTTTGCGGGACCTCTACGGTATATCTGTGGCGTTTTGCCGTCTCTCTGGTGGTTCTGTGGTAAAAAGGTGAAGGTGGAATTAAGTTATGTAACTCCGAAGCACACTCACTGAAATGTAACCGGTAAAAACCGATAAAGAGGCAACTTTTCGCCTGTGTTCAAGACTTTGGAGTCTAGTCTCGAATAATTTGTCGTCACCGATGAGCTTCTTTGCACGCCTCTCAATGCATTCCAGAGACTCTAGCTGATATTTTGCAGAACCATCCCAAAGGTGCGAACAGTACTCCATGCACGAGCGAACTTGTGTTTGGTACAAGGTGAGCAGCTGTTCCGGAGTAAAGTACTTCCGCACCCTTGCGAGGACGCCAAGCTTTTATGCAGCCAGTTGAGCTCTGGAGCTTCTGCCCCAAAATTCATATATGTATTTTTACATAGTACTCATCATTGCCTTTTTCCAGGGCTACTGCCATCTATTCGCTCAGGGAGACACTTTCTAGAATTCTAAATTGTTTATTTTCTGATAACGCTTGGAAGCAGGCCTCTATCCCTGTTCGTTACCGAGCACTAGGTACCCGGCACATTTTATACATTGCCCTTCCCGCTTGTCTTCTGTCTTCTGCAGATGATACAGCTAAGTTCTTTAATAAAATACTACGTCCTTTGTTAGGTGTTGTAGAGCTGGCTCAGCTTGCAGAGACCAGGAATGCTCGTAGGGCATGCCTGGGAGCTGATCCACCATCCTCCTTATCTTCGCAGAGGCAATGGGACGGGCCACTCTGTTTGCGTTTTCAGAGTGATCTTTTAGCTTCCTTTGAAAACGCAGCTGAGCTTGCTCGCTTCCTAGCGGTCAAACAGGCAGAATCTGGTTACTGGCTGCTAGCTCTTCTTTTAGCCAATATCGGGACTTTGCTTTGCATGTGCACTCTGTTTCTTGTCATTTCACTTAGACTTGGCGTCAAGGCCAATCATCCCCATCGCTGTCGTTGCGAAACTCATGTCGGTGAGTTGGGACACCATGGTCTTTCGTGTCAAATAAGCGGTGTTCGAGTCTCCCGCCACGCCTGCCTCAATGACGTCATCCATAGAGCTCTTGTCGTAGTCTTGCAGCGGTCCTAGAGCCTAGCGGCATCTTCCAAGACGGTGGCAAGAGACCTGATGGAATGACGATCATTCCTTAGAAGCAGGGTCGTCCTCTTGTATGGGACGCAAATTGCGCGGATACGTTTGCTCCGTGCCACACAGGTAGTACCTCCGTTAAATAAAACTAGTTTTTACGGGTTAATGCACGAAACTTTATTTATTTATTGACGTTTCGTTTTTTTTTTGTTTGCATAATTTAACATAAGAAGGAGATAGAAAGCCTCTCTTGAGTTTGTTTCGCCGGTTCTTCTCAGAAAGGTCTCCCAATTTTGGAACCGGTGGTAGTTTACGGTAGGTAGGATCAAATAAATAAACTCAAAATTACATAAAAGAATTTAAATAAAATACTTTATTAAGTAAATTTAATAATAAATTCATACATAGACAATAAAACTTTAAAAATCGAACAATGAAATAACCGAACGCTCAATAAAAATCTTTCGAAGGTAGCTCGACAAATTAAATAAAAGTTTAATTCTGACGACGTAGCCTGTAAAGGCTACGAAACGTCAATAAATAAATAAAGTTTCGTGCATTAACCCGTAAAAACTAGTTTTATTTAATGAGTGATGTGCGTGAAAACCTAAGAAACAAATAAGTACCTCCGTTGCTGCGAGCGCGGCGGCGGCCTCTGCTGAGTGCTCCAAGCGGCGCAAATATTCAGCTCTCAATGAGAACTAAATGTTTGGTGTTGAGATTATGGAACCATGGGGTCCAAGCGCTCGTTCCCTTTTAAAGAATTGTCTAAGAGACTCACCGAGATGACTGAAGACCAAAAGGCTGGCAGCTACCTTGATCAACGGGTTAGCCTTGTTATCCAACGTGGAAATGCTGCCAGCCTACTGGGCACCATTCCTGACGTCGGCGCTGGGGGTGATTTTTTTTGTAGGTTGTATATTTTCTAAGTAGTTAATTCTGATTGAAAGTTTTAAAACAATATTGGTTTTAAGCTTTGATCATCAACCCATGTTCGTCCACTGCTGGACATAGGTCTCCCCTAATGTACGCCACTGCTCCCGATTTTGTGCTACTCTCATCCAGCCCACTCCAGCCAGCCTACGAATATCATCATCCCGTCTTGTCTCAGGGCGTCCTACACTACGTTTACCGAGTCGCGGTCTCCACTCAAGAACTTTCCGGCTCCAACGTCCATCAGTTCTGCGGCTAACGTGACCAGCCCCCTGCCATTGTAATTTAATAAAAATAAAATATTAATATAGTAAACATACTACCAATATTAAAAAAAAATTGAAAGTTTGCATGTTTGTAACTCAATCACTGAACGGATTTGGACGGAATTTGGTACGCGTATAGTTTATGACCTGGTTTGAGTCATAGGATACTTTTTACCCCGGTAAAATGTTAACGATTTGGATTGAACGAACGAACCGAACGAAGCCGAGGGCGGCCGCTAGTATGATAAAAAAAATATTGTGTGTGTCAGCTCCGACGCACGACTGGAGTTTACTCCTTAAGTTTGATAGTCTAACCAGACGCAAAAAGAGTTTATTTAACTTAAAAAAGATTGATACTGTATATATAAATATATATTTGTTCATTTCATATACATTTATTATAACTAATCGACGAAATATTTTACATTAAACTTTTTACAATAGTCAATTTCAGATGTTCATAAATATATTATTCTAAGTTATTGTACATCTTAGTGTTTTTATGTGTTTTGTTACCTTAAGTCATGGTGGGCGATAACAGAGTCATGTTGTTAAGTTAAATATTTGTAAGGACAAATCTCAGTTTGTCCTTGGTGGGCGATTATGTATACGCCATTTGTTCATTTAAAATTTTATTCATATGTATCAAAATAGATGGCGCTGTAGTTCGTTGCATCACGCTTGTAAATATGTTTGGAGCTACATATAGGCAAAACGTCACCTAACTAATAAATAAATCTATGGTCTAACAGAAAACACTGTAGGTTCAATTTAATTCTTTTGCACCTAAGCTCTCGGATTTAAGAGTCATTTTGGCTCGAACAGGATGCGCACCAAAAACGTAACGAGCGAGGTCATTCATCGATAGATTTTACTCCTCACATTTTTCTCATACCGGGCCCCTTATATATGCAAATCGATTCTTATGGAGTAAACTCCAAAAATTTGAAGTCTCTTCTCTGACTGTTGTCGCCAAAACAATAGTAAGAAACATACAAGCACACAAACTTAGGAACTCACTCTTGCGTTGCCTACGGTACCCTAGCCATATTCTCGATTCATGGAACCCATATTCCTGGTACCTATTACTAATAGAATCACAATAAATAAAGACTTCTCTAGAAGATAAAAGAGTCTTTTTCAAATAGAACTTGGAGCGAACTAAGTAAAATCGAATTGGTTGCGAGGCGCCGTCCCGGGGATAAAGAATGGCGAAACAAAATTATTTTGGTGACGCCACAGCTAGTATTTTTCGGTCGTTATATCTATACGGGATACCCTATATGTCGAAAAGTGGATCACACTAGAATCCCGCGTTTCACAAGAAAATTGAGTGTATTCGTGTACCCTTAGAGGGGTGATGACGGGGTACAGTAAACGAAATTCTATTTAGTCCGTCAGTTAGATGATCAAAAAATAATGGACACGTATTTTTCTTTGGGCAATCAACCAAAAAATGACAAAGTTATAGCGCGTCAAAGTTTGGGAGTAGGGGCTCGTGACGTCACTTTTGAGTGAATTTTCACTTATAAGTGTACTCAAACGTGACGTCATGCGACTTTTCAAATCAATATATCTCTGCAATGTTTATATTATGTGAAAAAAAGAAAAAATACGTGTCCAATACTTTTTGATAATCTACCTGATAAACGAAGAAAAAACAATAGTCATCATCCCTATTACAATATTAGTTTTCGTGAGCTCGCACTCGTACTAAGGGTACTGATTTTATTTAATTTTGTTTTCGTTTCAATACAAATAAACAGTGTTTAAATTCTAACATTAAATCAATCATTTGTGTCTTCTTAAATTTTAATAATATTTGGTTACTTTTCACCAAAAAGGACATAGGAGCATAATTTACAACTGCGAAAACTATGATAGTTTTCGTGAGCTCAAATTCGTACATCAATGCGTTACCGAGCAATATTGTAACTGAATATGTGTTTTGTTACCTTAAGTCACGGTGGGCGATAACAGAGTCATGTTGTTAAGTTAAATATTTGTAAGGACAAATTACAGTTTGTCCTTGGTGGGCGATTATGTATACGCCATTTGTGCATTTAAAATTTTAGTTCATATGTATCAAAATAGATGGCGCTGTAGTTCGTTGCATCACGCTTGTAAATATGTTTGGAGCTACATATAGTCAAAACGTCACCTAACTAATAAATAAATCTATGGTCTAACAGAATACACTGTAGTTTCAATCTAATTCTTTTGCACCTAAGCTACCGAGTTACCGAGCAATATTGTAACTGAATAAGGTGAGCTTTCCATTTTTTATTTTCAAAGCGTTTAACTGCTAGATGGAGGAGGAGCTCGTTAGCGCAAGTGGTTAGCGTTAGCGCGTTCGGCTGCGATCGTTGAAGTTAATCAACTTTCGCAGTGGTCGGTCATTGGATGGGTGACCGAAAATTTACTTTTTCGAGAAGCTTCCCTCTCCGTGCTTCGGAAGGCTGCATCTGCAGTCGTTAGCACCCACCAATCCGCTGGCCCGCGTGGTGGGTCCTGGCCCAATCTCCGTATTCCATCCATAGGGGAGACCTGTGCCCCAGCAGTGGGGACATTAATATGCTGATGATGATGATGAACTGCTAGATGATTAATTCATAATTTTGTAGCATAATTAGTGAGTGCATCCGCCCGTATAGCGGAGGGTGCAGGTTCGAGTCCCGTTCGCGTGGAATTTTATCTAGTAAAATTACATCGTGGAGCTCTGGACCTTATTCACTGACAGAAACACTACACTACTGAGAGGTAGTGTTATTTTTACTGTAATCTTTTGTAAGGTGGAAGTTACTTCCCCAGACGGGCGTTACAATTCGAGCGGAAAATCCGCTATGTCTAACCGCTATCTCTTAACTATACAAAGGGTTATAATTTATTATTATTATTATTTTAAAGCATGTAACTGCTTGATGTTTAAATCTAAAGAAAATATAACTAGAAAAAAATCCACGCGGACCAGGAAGGCAGGTTTTTCTTTAGATTTAAACATCAAGCAGTTACATGCTTTAAAATAATAATAATTGTAACTATAATTGCTATTTCTTCTTTCAAATGTTTAATACTTGAAAAAGTATTTATTTGACATTGTGGGTTACCTATAATGCGAAGAGATGGCGCTGCCTTGAAGCTTAAGAATGCCTAGAAGAATTTTGACGCGGTCCGTGAGGGCCGCGGTAGCATAATTGGTCAGTGCGTTCGCCCGGATTGCGAAGGGTGCGGGTTCAAGTCCCGTCTGCTGCCTGGTCCGCGTGGATTTTTTCCTAGTTATATATACAAAGGGTGTCAACGAAAATTTGGCACCCTTTGTAAAGTTGTCCGTCTGACTGTCAATGTCGCCGCACACGGGCCACCGACCACAACCACAAAACGCCGCCACCGGCATATTTCTTGTAGTTTGCATACATTTTATATGGACTAACCACACACGGTACGCCGGTGGCCGCCACACGCTACAAATCGTCGTTACCCGCTTCTTGTGGCTCGCACCGGCCACTTAATGCGCCGATACAAAACGCCGCCACACGTCACTCGCGCGATTCCCCACCCCTCTCTCCCTTACCTTAGTCGGCCGCTGTCGCGCGCTTCAGCCACTTTAGTAGCCGCTTCTAGCTTCTCGTGGCGGCGTTTGTGTCTGTGGCGTGTGGCCCGTATACGACGACACTCAGAGGACATCGAACTCCTTTTTTTATATATTGTGTCACGTGTACAACAAAATAACAAGCATATAAAAAAAGGCCCTCACAGAAAATTAATTAAATGTCACCTCATGTATGATGTTTGGAAAGATCTCCTTTACAATTCAGACAAGTTTTAGATCGATTTTTCACAAATTTATCTGTTTTCAATAAATTAATATTGTTGTTCGTAACTACGTAAGCGAAAACCCGTATAAATTTAAATGCTTGAGCATGGGCAAACGAGTTTTTTTAGTTAAATATTCCATTATTTTACCAACACGTTTTAACGTTTAATTTCTTGTGGTAAGGGGATTTATATAACGGATATATTATCTATATATGTAAAACTCAAAGGTGACTGACATAGTGATCTATCAACGCACAGCCCAAACCACTGGATGGATCGGGCTGAAATTTGGCATGCAGGTAGATGTTATGACGTAGGCATCCGCTAAGAAAGGATTTTGATCAATTCTACCCCCAAGGGGATAAAATAGGGAATGAAATTTTGTATGCAACTTTGTCAATTTTAAACCGATCGGTCTGAGACTTTGCATGTAAGTATAAGAAGAATCATAGATGAATGTCATTGTGTATAATACAAGCCTGAGAACAAAAACTGTAGTCTACACTTCAGCTCTACACCGAAGCGAAGCGCTAGTTTAATATAAAACCATAGATACATGATGATGACCAATATTTTTTCTATGTACAAAACTAACATAAAATTACATATGTTATTTCAAGAGTTTTTATTTAATCAATTTAGTTATTCTCACTTTTAGCTTTTTTTAATTAACTTTCATGATTTACCTTTTTCTTGATAATAAATAAATGTTATTTATTACTCTATAGATTAACTTACGACTAAATAAATACTTTTAAAAAAAATATGTTTTGAAAAATTTATTAACTTGATAATAATATACTTAATATCGACGACCTCCGTGGTCGAGTGGTTTGTACGCCGGGTTTCATGGTGTCGCCGACTCGAGAGGTCCCGGGTTCGAATCCCGGTGGGGGCAGATGTTTGTGTGATGAATACGAGCATTTGTACTCTTGAGTCATGGATGTTTAATATGTATATCTATATAAATATACTTATATATGTACTGTATATGTAATTCTATCCGTTATCCTAGCATCCCACAACACAAGCCGTACAGTGCTTACTTTGGGGCTAGGCTAATAGGGATGATGACTATTTTTTTTCTTCGTTTATCAGGTAGATTATCAAAAAGTATTGGACACGTATTTTTTCTTTATTCATACACACTGTACACTTATAAGTGAAAATTCACTCAAAAGTGACGTCACGAGCCCCTACTCCCAAACATTGACGCGCTATAACTTTGTCATTTTTTGGTTGATTGCCCAAAGAAAAAATACGTGTCCATTATTTTTTGATCATCTAACTGACGGACTAAATAGAATTTCGTTTACTGCATCCCGTCATCACCCCTATTGGTGTGAGTGTTGGACATATTTATTTATTTATTATTTTTCCCTCGGAAAATGGCGCCCATTTCCTAAATTGGAACTACATCTTTCGCCTCTTTTATTTTTAGTATTAAAGTGAGAAAAAGGTATAGATTAAAAGCGCTTTCAAGGAGGTTCGTTCGGAATAAAAAAGTATGTGCAAATAACTAACTCAATGCGTACGAAGTCGCGGGTGGTCGCTAGTTATAAATAAGATAAAAAAAATGGGTGCGTGTACTTATGTAGGCGCGTGAGAAGTTATCCTTCTTTCGCATCGTTTAAAATTAGTTTTAAATTGCATGCAAATAATTAATTACAATAAATTAATAAAAAGTCTGGAAAAGGACACAGAAGACAAAAGGAAACTAGAAACATGTGGATAAATATTATAAACATGAATACCTATAACTGTTACTTTATTACAAAAAATAAAGATGTGGTTTTTGGTTCTACTACACAAATGGTCAAGAGATGGCGCTGTAGTCTCCTGAATCGCGCTTTGGTTCCGTTGTTCCAGATTAATAAATACTTTTGATAGGCCTTCACAATGCAGTCGTTAGCACCCACTAAATAGAGATTCTATTTCTATTTTGTTGGTAGATTTTCTTAATGTGCGGTAAACACAAAAGTTAAAATTTTGTGTCACAGTGCTGCGCGCGCATCTTAAAATTTCACTCTCATCATTTTTTCATAACGCGCCTAAAGAAGTATAACTTCAAAAATCAAATTCGTAAGTTTACTATGGAAGTGACGTTATATGGATATTAATAACAACCATATGCAAATGTAAGGCAGTGATAACCAGTTATTGGGACTTAATTATGATGAGACGAAAAAATTGTATATCGCGATGGCTTAATAAATAAATATATATACAGGAACAATGAACCTTAAACTAAGAACCTTCAAAAATATAACGTAATAACTAAAACTAAAAAAAATGGGTGCGTGTATTTATGTAGGCGCGTGAGAAGTTATCCTTCTTTGGCATCGTTAAAAATTAGTTTTTAATTGCATGCAAATAATTAATTACAATAAATTAATAAAAAGTCTGGAAAAGGACACAGTCAATAAAGTTCAGTTTTAATTTGAAAAAATAAATAAATAATCAAAATATTCAATTAAAATCGCTACTGAATATAATTTATTACAACATAATATGTGATTTGCACTAATGATGAAACTCAAACATGTATTCCGAATATACAAACTAGAAACATGTGGATAAATATTATAAATATGAATACCTATGACTGTTACTTTATTACAAAAAATAAAGATGTGGTTTTTGGTTCTACTACACCAATGGTCAAGAGATGGCGCTGTAGTCTCCTGAACCGCGCTTTGGTTCCGTTGTTCCAGATTAATAAATACTTTTGATATTATAAATATGAATACCTATAACTGTTACTTTATTACAAAAAATAAAGATGTGGTTTTTGGTTCTACTACACCAATGGTCAAGAGATGGCGCTGTAGTCTCCTGAATCGCGCTTTGGTTCCGTTGTTCCAGATTAATAAATACTTTTGATAGGCCTTCACAATGCATTCGTTAACACCCACTAAATAGAGATTCTATTTCTATTTTGTTGGTAGATTTTCTTGATGTGCGGTAAACACAAAAGTAACGCATGAAGTTGGTCGCTAAAGCGACCGCTAAATTATGAAAAGTGAATTAAAATAACATTTTAACAGAAATTAAAACATTTTTTTTGAAAAACTATTAATAATTTTAAAAATATGTTCTAGCCTTCACTCGAGATCAGTTTCATGCCAGCCAACTTTTTAACCGGTTACTCAGATCTATTTATCTTTTGTTGCCATGGCAACGACTCCAAATAACTTCCATGGTACCTACTTCAGAGTTAAGTAAAGGATATAATAAGAGTTATCGTCATATTATATATTTTTATTTTTTTAAGCATTTTACTGCTAGATGTTTTAAATGTACAGAAATTTTGGTTAGAAAAAAATTCCACTCGGGCCAGGCAGCAGATGGGACTCGAACCCGCACCCTTCGCTATCCGGGTGAATGCACTGACCATTGTGCTACCGTGGCCCTGATGGCCGTGTCGAATTTTCTCCAACCTTTCTTATGCTGCAAGGCAGCACCATCTCTTCGCATGGTAGGTAACCCACAATGTCAAATTAATACCTTTACAAGTATTAACCATTAAATTTTCTTTAAAAAGGTTTTTACCGAAATTATATTCTTCTAATATATAAAATTCTCGTGTCGCGGTGTTTGTGGTTAAACTCCTCCGAAACGGCTTTCCCGATTCTCATGAAATTTTGTGTGAATATTGGGTAGGTTTGAGAATTGGACAACATCTATTTTTCATCCCCCTAAATGTTAAGGGTAATCCACCCCTAAATTTTTTTTTTCAATTTCAGATAAATTTATTTTATTTAATTTTTTTATGATACATCATACAAAAATACATACATCCCTAAATCTTCAACTTTCTACCACCAACCCCTATTTTTTTATGGCGGTACGAAAAACGCTGGGTCAGCTAGTATACCTATATATTTTTCAATACCGTTTAAAATCTCATAAGATGATAAACAAACGGGTTGGACTCAGAGGTACGGTGAAATATACTTCATTAATAAATGTATAATATCCAGTCATTAAGTCATCGTTAATATTATCTACAGTGGAATTCCACATTGTATTTATATATAGGCATCGGAATTTGACTTGGTTTTCTGCTTTTTATTATTAATTTATTCAACATTTTACATAAACAAATAACGCTGACATAAATTTGTTTTATTTTTATTTAATCACTTCCTGTTTCGGAACTACTAAAGTTACTATTTTTAATTTATATTTTAAATTATTCCAAAAACAGGATCTATCTCAAACGTTTTTTTTACCATGTATTAAAAGAAATATAGGCATTCGCAATGAATAATTTAATATTCAAGTATTTTTCGGTGTATTAATACTAAGGGTATGACTAACACGTAACAATACTCCGTTTCACTATATCTGTAACACTCACTGACCAAGTACAGTTCTAACACAATTAAAGAAGCTTGACAAATTTCTTTCACACTTTTCAAAAATGGCACTTAAGTTAACTTCAAACTAGCGAACTTATATACTGAATAGGGGTAATGACGGGGTACAGTAAACGAAATTCTATTAAGTCCGCCACTTAGATGATTAAAAAATAATGGACACGTATTTTTTCTTGGTGCAATCAACCAAAAAAATAACAAAGTTATAGCGCGTCAAAGTTTGGGAGTAGGGGCTCGTGATGTCACTTTTAAGTGAAAATTGTACCAAAACGTGACGTCATGCGACTTTTCAAATCAATATATCTCTGCAATGTTTATATTATGTGAAAAAAGAAAAAATACGTGTCCAATACTTTTTGATAATCTACCTGATGAACGAAGAAAATCATCATCCCTAAATCCATTGACTTCATTTATTCTTTAAATAAGGTGGGCTCATGATAGGGCTACCATCTCTAAAATGTGGCAACCAGGATAAGACGCGTGATAACCCCGGATTTTGGAGCCCAGAACCCGGACAGACCAATAAAAAATAGTTTAAAATATCACAAATCAACTTTTTTATGTTGATCTAGGCAAAAGAGCTAGCGGTCTACATCATAATAAGTGGTCACTGCTGCCCATGGACACTTGCAGCACCAAGGGCCACTCATGCGTTGCCGTAAATTTTTAAACCCGGACTACAAATAAAACCCCGCCCGGACGCTCCCCGGACGCCCCGTAAACTAGGACAAATCCGGGAAAACCCGGATGGATGGCAGCCCTAGCTCATGATAATACTTTATTTAATTTATGAACATTATCAATAATAACTATGTGCAAGTAACTGCTCATGAATCTTTGGAAATATGAGGTTCTTCGACAGTTTACTGTAATGGTTGTCCAGGTGGTTCCATAACGGGTCTTTCACTTCCAGCACATCGATCACATTAGGCAGCTTCCCGATAAGCCATTTAACATCCTTGACGTCGACCAAGCCGTCGTTCTTACCGTAAATCACCACCACAGGAGGAGTAACAGCACCAAGCTTGTATTTCGGGGGCCTCTCCTGACCGTAAACTTTGAGGTTCGTCTCTCTGCCGTAATCAAACTTCTGAAAGTCAGTACTGACCATGCTCTGGCCGTATTTCGCCAAGTTCTGCACGGATGTGCCAGCGGGGAGGTTCCTCGTTGCCCTCGCAAGCGTTTCGTTAGTCATAGAGCCTGGGTGATAGAAGTCCAGAAAGGCCGTTCCAACGTCGCAGAACACTTCAGAGATTGAGTTCCATTGGCAGAAAGCGGCTAAGATCGTTTGCACCAGCGAACCCTTTTGTAACACCTCTTCTATACCGACAGATCTCAGAGTCTTCTCTAGCACAGTGAAAGCCATACTCGCGACGCGGAACCCTAACGATCTGGTGTGTAAATGGCGAGTTGCCGGTGCTAGTCCAATCATCAGATTAATCTTTTCACAATGTCCAGGTCTGTCGGAACACATGGCGAAGAAAGTTCCTGCCCCTTGCGAGTAACCGATGTAGTTCAGCTTTTCAACTCCTGTTTTGTTCAACACATAGTCGACCAGTGCGGGGACATCGTAAAGGCCCATTTCGTCAGCGGAAAATTTCCAGAAGGGCTTGTCTTTGTTGGGGTCAAGCGTTTTGTGTCTCCTGGAGTAGTAGTTGCCTCTGAAGTTGCCCAGCCAGCTGTCAAAGCAGGCGTCGGATAGGAGGTACGCAAGCCCAGCATTGACACCGGCGTCTGTCCACGAATCGGAACTCTCCAATAGGCCGTGCATCATCAGTACGGGAGGAAGGAACTTTCTTTGATGGCAGTTCTTCGATTGGGCTATCCTGAAGATCTTCAAAATGTACCCGTCTTGCGTGACTACGGAATACTGCTCTGTCGAGTATCCATTCTTCGCTGTTGTCTCTATGAAGTTGGGGAACTGCCGCGATTGTCTCTTTGAGACTTTGCTGTGGTTCTTAGGGAGGCTGTTGGCGTGCACTAAGCATGTTAGTAACACTAGCAAGATATAAACCCAACGAGTTCTTGTCGATGCCATTGTGATGACTACTAGCGTGGGCAGATCACAGCTTCTTTATACAATGTCCTGATCGTAACGTCACCCAGATGTGCGTGTGACGTATATAGATAGAACTAGTTATACCGCTGCATGATAACATTGGCCGATAGCATCCTAATGGTGCTTACACACTGGAGGTACAGATTGTTTGTTACAATTACAACCATTCAGAATAAAATATTTGTTATTTATTTTTGCATTAAAGTGATGATGATATAGTAGATTTTAACAAAAGACAATTTCCATTATTTTAAAAATTATACCCGTGCCGGGTAGTCTGTGCGGAATGACTGATGACTGATGGGATTTAAATTGGAGGGCGCTGTAGTGCTTTTCTACCGTATTTGTAAGGTTTTACCTCTTTTGGACATGATTAAATACAAAAAACCGCAAGAAATCACAACAACAAACAAATCCGTATCAATACAAAACTTTGACGATTTACAGATTTGCTGGTATGATTGCCAAATAAAAATCTTAATGTTAGTTCCGTTTTTCGCCACGCCCATTCTCTTTCCGCACAGACTCTATGGCGATCAAGTTGGAGCGAGGGCAGCTAAATTGACATAATTCGGCATGTCCGTTAAGGCCCGATAATGGATGCGATAGTGGATAATAATATGTAGTTTATGCGAGAAAGAGACTTAATCTTATATTGTTTTTTATGTTCGAAACACAAGTTAACTTTCGTTTAATTTTATTGATACAGTTCACATAAAATCTTATTTGTAAACGTTTAGTTACTTTTATACGGTATACCCATACACCTGGTTGGGCAACTAATCAGATGGGGCTTCAGTGACCCAGGGGGACTAAATCACCCCTAAGAGACTGGTGCAGAAGGCAACGGGAAACCACTGCATTATATATTCCCTAGTCTGTCGGCTAAACATATTTACATGGAATTGTCAACAAAAATGAGGAACCTACGAGAATGGACTGGAATCTCGAACGCTGCTGAATTATTCCATCTCGCTAAGGACAAGGAGACGTATGCTAAGCTGGCTGTCAACCTTCGCTGTTCGGAGAGGCACTAGAAGAAGAAGAAGTGACTTTTATAAAGGTTTTCGTGCTGAACAGTCTGGCGGTGTCACTGAAAGTGCACGAGCTTTGGAGAATATGCAGTAGTTCAATAAATAAAACTAGATTCCGAATCGTATGGACAATTTATTTCGAAATTATTTAAACCTTATATATTTCAATCGAACTAAACCATACCGTGAGTACAAATTAATACAGCTCCACCTATGGAACAATGGAGTAAAAATTTTATATAAGGTACCACATTGGACAAACACAAGCCTTATAGTGCTTACTTTGGGGATAGGCTAATTGGTGTGAGTGTTGGCAATATTTATTATTTTCTATTTATTTAACTTTCGTGTGAGTGGCACCTTAATGTTATTTATGAACGTATGAAAGCAAAAAGCAAAAAAATAAGAATTGCACAAATTTTAACTATAGAAATATATTTTGTTTACTAAAACATTGTACATGTAAACTTAAACTTAACACGAGAGACTCATCGTAACGTTACCGAGCGTTACACTTTTTCATAAGTGACTCCCAGCCGCAACCTAATTTAAGACGTTGTCACGTCAAAAGCGACATGTCAAATAGTATAATGGAGAGATTAGTGGCATGCTTAAGTTTTTTTCGCGAGTGTCTAAGCATAACAAATTGATAGGCGTTTGAAACTGGATGTGGGGTTTTTGTCGGTAAATACATTGACGACATCTCCGCAGTGCGTGGTTCGAGCCTCGACCGGATTACAGAGTTTTTTATTCAAAAAAATCAAAATTCAATATCGTTTATTCAGTCTAGGCTGTTACAAGCACTTGTGAATGTCGAAAAGCTACGCCATCGGTTCGCAAATCTACGGCGGGAGACCTTGCACTGAGAAGAACCGGCAAGAAACTCAGCAAGCGCTGTTTTTTTCTCCCTGTATTATAAACAGAGTCGTCAAATTGAAAAATGACTTCAATATGAGGTAACTCATAAAGTCACTTTCCATTACAAACAAAAAATGCAAATAATATAAAAATTATGACTATAAAATAAAAAAAATATAAGAAACTGGTTTAACAAAGTTTAGGAATGCCGTGTCCTACTGTTTAGGCAAAAAAAAATTATAATAATAATCATATACAGATTAATATGAATTATGTATATATAGCATAGCAGATTTACCCCTAGAATAAGGTATTTGATAAGTTTTAGAAAACGATCTCACGTAATTGACTAATGTTTATGGAGTCCGTAAAAAGTGGTTATTCATCATTCTGTTGTGTATTTCAGTAAAAATAACCAAATCAAAAACTCCATTTTTAAGTTGCCGTGAAAACGTTTCTCTGGAAAATATGGCGTCTTACTAGTGTGTGTCGTCACACGACTGTTATTAAAACGTCAAACGATACAATGTAATGTCACTTTAACCGGAAGTTTACTTGCGTGTGACGTCATTTTAGGCTCCGCCAATCCCAACCGTTTTGGGTCACGTGACAATAGATAAGAAAACTATTATCTTTTTCGTTAGTTTTTAGTAAAATTATGAATATTTTTTTGTAAAAATAGTGAAATACCCTGCAAATGTTCATTCTAAACACAGATGCTAACAATTGGCACTTTATTTTTAACACTGTCAAATACCCTATTGGAGCGTAGGGAAGTAAACTCCACATATTTAAAATAAAACTAGTTTTTACGGGTTAATGCACGAAACTTTATTTATTTATTACGTTTCGTAGCCTTTACAGGCTACGTCGTCAGAATAAAACTTTTATTTAATTTGTCGAGCTACCTTCCACATATTTGTTTCTTAGGTTTTAGCGCACATCACTCATTAAATAAAACTAGTTTTAATGGGTTAATGCACGAAACTTTATTTATTTATTGACGTTTCGCAGCCTTTTCAGGTCTGCATCGTCAGAATATAGTTTTTTTTAAGAAAACAATGTTTTTTTTTTAAATAGAAACAACATTATTCTGACGATTTTAAATTTACCACAGAATAATGTTTTTTTTAAAAAAAACTGATTTTTTAAAAAAAAAACAATGATTTTTTAAAAAAAGTAACAACATTCTTCTGACCATGTCAAGTTAAGTACATTATGAACAAAGTTGCAGTGTACTCAACTTAATCATGCTTTCTGAAACAGTGCAGTAAAAACTTTTCCGCTCGTAATATTTAACGCTCCCTTGTACCGGCATTGCGGTTCCTAAAATCGTCAAAGTTAAAATTAAACTGAAGGTGATTTGCACAAAGTCTTCTAAATATAGCTCGTTGGTAAATCGCATGCATTGACCCACATCGTATAAGGAAGAAACACAGAAACTTGCAGCACAGACAAGGTAAACATAACATAAAACTAAACTGTATATATAGGTACTAGTGGCCCGCCCTCGCTTCGCTTCGGTGCAAAGCTGTAGTGTAGACTATAGTTTTTGTTCTCAGGCTTGTATTATACACAATGACATCCTTCTAATACCCAATTACAATAGGCACGCGCCACCAAGCCCGATAGCGTCGGAACCGCTATGTCCCTGAATTTTAAATTTGTAATATCTTCGAAAATATTCATTTAAATTATATGCGTTAAAGGGCCAAATTGTTCTATATTAAATGCACAATGTATTTAAAGTACTTAATTGGATAAGTATGAATGTTATATTGCTTAAAATCGCTTCGTAAATAATCTATTATTTCCCGTAAAAAGTATAGGATAAAAATTGGTTATTGTGGGTTATCCTTAAGAGATAGACATATACCATCGGGGACTTTTTTGTAGACCTTTTTAAGGTGTACAATACTGTAGTACATTATTTTGATCTATCTCGTGGGGTTCAGCCAGCGTTTGCAATGTAAGCGCAAAAAATGTGTTTATTTACGACCTTACATTAAAAACCTCTAAAATTATCAGTGTTTCTCTGCTATATTATACATATAAACCTTCCTCTTGAATCACTCTATCTATTAAAAAAACCGCATCAAAATCGGTTGCGTAGTTTCAAAGATTTAAGCATACAAAGGGACATAGGGACAGAGAAAGCGACTTTGTTATATACTATGTAGTGATAATACTTATGAGCAATCAGGGTTTAAGCCAACCTATCGCATATCGATCACAAGGTGTTTCAAGTCTCAATAAAGTGACAGACTGCTGAGAAGCAATCTTAAGCCGGCTTTACAAAGTCTTAACAATACCCACCAACAAAGTTCCCGAAACTTCACTATCTAAATTCATAAACTTTTTGTTTGTAATCAAGAAGTTTTTCCATTTATTTGCAATAAATTATTTTAATTGAGTTTATTTACAGTATAAATATTTTAGACATCACATCCATTGCTTACAATGTAGCTGAAGAACTTTTAATAAAGAAATCAGACATTTTATTTTGTACATTTATATTTATTTAAGTTAGTAAGTTTTAAGATAATTCAATTTTTAAGTTTTTAGACATTAAGTAATTTTAAAACTTTTGTAATTTAAATATTTGCATGTAAATAACCTAAGAAATTATATAACTGAAATCAGACAAACTATTGTAATATGCATTATGTATAATAATAATAATAATAAACTAGCAAACCAGTGAACCAAATGTTCACCAAAACCTGATTTCTCGAAAACCGGAAGTGCTACGTTACTCAAATCCGGTTTGTAGACTATTCTTAACTTATAACTTAAATATTCTCTTTATCTATCTCTTACGGTTTGGCCGCTGAAACAGCACCACAGACGGACGGACTTGTCTAATAGATAAGAGATAATAAATATTCTTTATTGCACACAACAAAGGACACAGGACATAAACAAATAAAACAGAAGAAAGAGTACAATAGGCGGCCTTATTGCTAAACAGCAATCTCTTCCAGGCAACCTATGGTGGAAGAGGAATAATAATAATTCGCAGCCTTTTCAGGTCTGCATCGTCAGAATAATGTTTTTTTTATTTAATTTTGTCGAGCTACCTTCGAAAGACTTTTATTGAGCGTTCGGTTATTTCATTATTAGATTTTTAAAATTTTATTGTCTATGTATGAAATTATTAGTTAATTTAGTTAATAAAGTACTTTATTTAAAATTCTTTTTTTTTGTAAATTTGAGTTTATTTATTTGACCCTGACTACCGTAAACTACCACCGGTTCCAAAATTGGGAGAGCTTTCTCAGAAGAACCGGCGAAACAAACTCAAGAGAGGCTTTCTATCTCCTTCTTATGTTAAATAAAGTTTCGTGCATTAACCCGTTAAAACTAGTTTAATTTAATTCAATTCAATTCAAATAATTTTTATTGCGAATACAGGTAATATTGTGTTGTGTTCAAGTATAAAAATTATATTATGTTCAGCCATATTCTGTCTTGTTGACATGCAATGTTATTACATTTAGTTCACTATTAATTACATTATTCTAACAATCTCAATTAAGTACTTATATTAATCTAAAAAGAAATTACAATTTGATAAATGAGATGTCTAAGTCACATTTTGAAGGAATAATAATAATGGATATATACAAAAACCTTACCATAATGTCAAATTAGAATACATGTCAAAATGAGTTAATGAGTGATGTGCGTGAAAACTGAAGAAACAAATAATTTTAACTATTCCAATATTTTGTGCTAATAATTACCTGCAACAAATACTTGATAAACACAATATAATCGAAATAAAATTCCCAATAAAAAAGCGTGTTTCTGCCGCAACAGTTTATTCTACCTTCATAATTTGTTGACTCATAAGTGTAGTACCTTTTGAAACTTTGGTTTTCAGTAATATGAGTAAAAAAAATGGGTGCGTGTACTTATGTAGGCGCGTGAGAAGTTATCCTTCTTTGGCATCGTTTAAAATTAGTTTTTAATTGCATGCAAATAATTAATTACAATAAATTAATAAAAAGTCTGGAAAAGGACACAGTCAATAAAGTTCAGTTTTAATTTGAAAAAATAAATAAATAATCAAAATATTCAATTAAAATCGCTACTGAATATAATTTATTAGAACATATGTGATTTGCACTTGTATGAAACTCAAACACGTATTCCGAATATACAAACTAGAAACATGTGGATAAATATTATAAATATGAATACCTATAACTGTTACTTTATTACAAAAAATAAAGATGTGGTTTTTGGTTCTACTACACCAATGGTCAAGAGATGGCGCTGTAGTCTCCTGAATCGCGCTTTGGTTCCGTTGTTCCAGATTAATAAATACTTTTGATAGGCCTTCACAATGCAGTCGTTAGCACCCACTAAATAGAGATTCTATTTCTATTTTGTTAGTAGATTTTCTTAATGTGCGGTAAACACAAAAGTAACGCATTAAGTTGGTACTTCATGCTGTTAAAATTTTGTGTTACAGTGATGTGTGCGCATCTTAAAATTTCACTCTCATAATTTTTTCACATGGAGCACCCCGTGTTTTTTCATAACGCGCCTAAAGAAGTATAACTTCAAAAACATTTATTGAACGTGTCCAATCGCGCACTACGATTAATTAACTATTTTCATCAATCTATTTATATAAAACTCAAAGGTGACTGACTGACATAGTGATCTATCAACGCACAGCCCAATCCACTGGACGGATCGGGCTGAAATTTGGCATGCAGGTAGATGTTATGACGTAGGCATCCGCTAAGAAAGGATTTTGATCAATTCTACCCCCAAGGGGATAAAATAGGGAATGAAAGTTTGTATGAAACTTTGTCAATTTTAAACCGATCGGGCTGAGACTGCATGCAGGTATAAGAAGAATCATAGATGAATGTCATCGTGTATAATACAAGCCTGAGAACAAAAACTGTAGTCTACACTTCAGCTCTACACCGAAGGTAGGGCATAGCGGATTTTCCGCTCGAATTGGAACGCCTGCCTGTAACCTCCACCTTACAGGAGATCGTATTAAAATAACACTAACCTTCGTTGGAGTTGTACCACTCATATAATATGCCACTATTAGGGGAAAAGAAATATCATCATCAGCCTATGAATGTCACAACTGCTGGGGCACTGGTTTTCCATATGGATGGAGTAGTGAGATTGGACCATGACCCACCACGCGGGCCTAATGTGGATTCATAGATGCAGCCGGGGCCAACGGCTTAACGTTCCGAAACAGGTAGAAGTCGAGTTTCTCCGTGAATAGTAAATTTTTGGTCACCCATCCAATGACCGACCACTGCGATAGTTGCTTAACTTCAATGATCGCAGCCGATCGTGTTAACCACTTGCGCCATCCAGCTTCTCGAGGGGAAGAGTATAAGTGTTACTAAATGGGTACTGGGATATAACACAAGCCTTACAGTGCTTATATTGGGGCTAGGCTGGTGTGAGTGGTGTGACTGACGAAATAACTTTTCACTTTACAAAAGACCACAACGAAACAATACTACATGATTAAAAATGCTGAGGAGCTCGATCGCGCAAGTGGTTAGCGCGTTCGGCTGCGATCGTTGAACTTAAGCAACTTTCGCAGTGGTCGGTCATTGGATGGGTGACCAAAAATTACTATCTCGAGCTCCTCCGTGCTTCGGAAGGCACGCTAAGCCGTTGGTCCCGGTTGCATCTGCAGTCGTTAGCACCCACCAACCCGCACTGGGCCCGCGTGGTGGGTCATGGCCCAATCTCCCTATTTCATCCATAGAGAAGGCCTGTGCCCCAGCAGTGGGGACATTAATAGGCTAATGATGATGATGATTAAAAATAGCACAGAAGTCTTCATAACGAAATATAATAGAAAATCATTCATTTAATAATCTAATAGCATAATGCTTAAAACTACAATGACAATATAAGTTCTCTAGTTCTGTGTCTCAGTGTTCAAAAAACATCTGAAGGAACACTATTTATCTTCTTGCCCTTAATTCTGCCCTTGATCTTCTCATTGTTTCTCTTCTCGTCGTCCATATTATATGTATGTATGTATTTATATATCTGTTGTCATCAATTTTATATTCGTATGTATTTATTCATTATTTAAGTACTTGTTTATATAAACCTATATGTAAATGTAAACCCCATATTTATTGGTATTAACATGTATTTATATTCCGGTGTACACGCTGACTACCTTTACCAATGATTTTATTTATTTTTTAACCATTTAACTGCTAGATGTTTAAATCTAAAGAAAAGTTTACTAGAAAAAAATCCACGCGGACCAGGCAGCGGACGGGACTCGAACCCGCATCCTTCGCTATCCGGGCGAATGCACTGACCATTATGCTACCACGGCCCTATTAGCCGCGTCGAAATTTTCCTAGCCTTAAGCTGCAAGGCAGCGCCATCTCTTCGCATTGTAGGTAACCCACAGTGTCAAATGAATACTTTTTCAAGTAAATTCAATAAAAGTCTAAATAATTTCCGTAGCAACTGGACTCACGTGGATGTTACATTAACAAACCATATTCAGTTAAAATATCTGTGCCCCACAGTGGGGACATTTATGATTTTATAATATCGATGTATTATTTTTTACCATATAATCTTTAGCCCGTTCCTTGTTACTCATTTTCTTGTTAAAGTATGTTTTACTTTTAATATTTAATTTTTGTGCAATGTTTGTATTTTTATTAACAAGTTTTTGTCATTGCATTTATCTCAAATAAACAGTAAATACAAAAGAAATCTCCACAAAATCTTTGACACATTATTATCACAACAGTTAACGTATCTCAAAACTGACAGACGTAAACTTAACTGTTCTTCAGTTGCACTTACATGAATTGAAAACTAGCAAATATTAATAACTATTAACAAGTAAATGTTCGTAAACCGTTGGAAAGACGAGGCTTTTGAAGTATCGACTGTAATGCATGTCCTCATGATTCCACAGGGGGTCCTCAACTTCAACCACATCAATCACATTGGGCAGCCTCCCGATCAACCATTTTATATCCTGATGATCAACCACGCCGTCATTTCTACCGTAAATTATTACCACGGGAGTAGACACGGCGTCCAAGTTGTATTCGGGAGGGTTTATTTGACCATAAAGTTCTAAATTCCTCTCCCTTCCATAGTCGAACTTCGCAAACTTTGGACTAACTACACCCTGGCCGTACTTCGCTAGGTTGTGCAGCGACGTTCCAGCGGGGAAGTGATGGAAGATGTTGTCAAAAGTATCGTCAGCTATAGACCCTGGATGGAGAAGGTCTTGAGAAGTCACGTAATTCCTGCACAATGTTTGTGTGAGAGAATTCAACGGACAATATTTAACCAAGAACTTTTGGGTCAGAGAACCTCTATTAAGCACCTCACCCACACCTGCAGACCTGAGATCATTTTCCAAGAGAGCAGCCGATTGGGCAGCGACTCGGAAACTAAGCAATCTAGAGTTCAAGAGTCTAGTTGCTGGTGCTAATGCTATCATGACGTAAACTTTTTCACAATATTCAGGTCTTTCGGAACACATGATAAAGAAAGTTCCCCCGCCTTGTGAGAAGCCGACGTAGTTCAGTTTCTCCGATCCAGTGTTGTTTAAGACGAAGTCAACCATAGCGGGGAGATCGTAACGCCCCATTTCATCTGCAGTAAATTGCCAATAAGTTAAGTCATGATCAGGGTCCAGGATCGTGTGTCTTCTGGAGTAGTAGTTGCCTCTGACGTTACCCAGCCAGACGTCGAAGCAGGCGTCGGAGAGGAGGTAAGCTAGTCCGGTGCTAGGTCCCCCATCTGTCCACACATCGGAGCTTTCCAAGAGACCATGCATCAGCAAAACTGGGGGCTGAAGTTTGCTTCGATTGCAGTTCTTCGCTTCCACTATTCTAAACATCCTCAAGATGTACCCGTCTTCTGTCACGACGGGATATTCCACTGATAAGTATCCTTCCTTTGCCGTTGTATATATGAAATCGAGGAATTTGTGTGACGGAGGTATGGAAATTTCGTTAGTCCTCTTGGGATAGCAGGTCGCGCGCGACGCGAATATTAACAATAAAATTGGCATATATGTCCAACGAGTGGTCTCCCCTGCCATTGTGATAACTACTGACTGTTACAGATCACAGCTTCTATATAGAACGCTCTTCAGAGTGCGTCACAAAGACGTGACGTATACGGAACGATATTTGATATTGTGTGTCCGTGAAACATGCGAAATGTGTCCTCTCATCTTGGAGACTGCCACAAAAAAGGCTAAGTAAAATGAGCAATTTCTGACGAAATGTGATGGTCATTACACTTTTATATTTAAAAATACCATCAGGCGGGCAATATATTTGTTTGCTACCCTCTTACTACAGAAAAATCATATCAACAAAAAAATTTATTAATTACTAGCTAACGCAGCGAATTTTGTACCGTCATAAAAATAGGATATAGTGGTATAAGAATGAAAATTTAGGTTTGTGCAATGCCGAATTATAGGAAAACAAATATTGTTCTAAACATAAAAAAAAAATTGGGATCAATCCTAATCTATCCTATCACATCCTATTCAGATACAAATAGAGAAAGTTTATTAATAACGTTCAAGTTACATGTCAAATGAGTACGGAGTAGTACCTATTATTTAAATTTAATTAGCAATAAATTAGCATATAACATCTATTATTAACCTATATGTCTGGATATAGTTGTATTGTATTGTATTTAAATGAATATTATACACAAATCGGCAATGCACAAAAATCTTTAAAAGAATAGAAAGAGTGCTCAACGAGCCATTTTCTTAGTCTAACTACTTCCAACACTATGTACCTAGTGTTGGAAGTGCTAAAGTTTTGAGGTCCAAAGGTTCTTTTTTATAATTCCTAAGTTGTAAAATATTTCCACTTATTAAATTTACCGTTAAATTTAATGATTTCAAGTTGTCAGATTTTGCTATGTCAAATATATATTTTAATTCAAAGTAATTCTTAGACATTTCGTCATTCTTAACCAATAAAATAGTCGCGTCATCAGCATACAATACACATAGATTTTTAATAATATTTTGTAGCTCATTGATATGGACTAGGAAAAATAATGACCCTAAGATACTGCCCTGCGGCGCACCTATTGGAATTATTTGATATTCTGATTAAGTTTCCTGCAAAGTGTTTGTGTTTTTATCCAAATATGTCAAATTTACTATTTTCATTATATTAAAAAGACATGAATCTATTAGTTAAACGCGCAACCTCGAATTATGATATGCTCAAGTTATTTAAGCAGAATAGAATGAACAACGCAATCAAAAGCACGAGACATATCAATGAATAAGGCTTCACAGTTTTTTTTCATCTATTGATGTCCACACGTGTTTTAAAAAAACTATAGATAGCCGACGATGTTGACAAATCCTTTCTAAATCCAAAATGGGTATTACCTAATATAAAAGTTATTCTAGTTATAATTTTTTATTATTTTTAAAGCATGTAACTGCTTGATGTTTAAATCTAAAGAAAATATAACTAGAAAAAAATCCACGCGGACCAGGCAGCAGACGGGACCGCGTCCGCGTGGATTTTTTTTCTAGTTATATTTTCTTTAGATTTAAACATCAAGCAGTTACATGCTTTAAAAATAATAAAAAATTATAACTATAATTGCTATTTCTTCTTTCAAATGTTTAATACTTGTAAAAGTATTCATTTGACATTGTGGGTTTACCTATAATGCGAAGAGATGGCGCTGCCTTGCAGCTTAAGAATAGCTAGAAGGAATTTCGACGCGGTCCGTGAGGGCCGCGGTAGCATAATTGGTCAGTGCATTCGCCCGGATTGCGAAGGGTGCGGGTTCGTGTCCCGTCTGCTGCCTGGTCCGCGTGGATTTTTTTCTAGTTATATTTTCTTTAAAGTTATTCTACTTAATAAATTCAATCAATCTTGTGTAGAAAACTTTTTATAAATTATTTTTTAAAACATTGGAAGGTGAAGGAGAATTCTACATTAGAAGATATTTAAATGTAGTATGAAAATATTACGGTCTCAAGTTATTATAGTCGCGTTGATGTCTTTATCCCGTGACAGTTTCGGGAGACCCTTTTTCAGCTTCCACTTCGGTTGAGGTGTCTGCCGCCGACTGTAAGGCTTTTCGGCTTTGACAAAGGTCTGACGATGAGCATGTTTGCAGACATCAAAATAGAATTGTATCTCTTCGGCGAAAGTCACATTTTTTTAACAATGAAGGTGACGAACAAATATCAGTTAATGTGACCCATGGATTCCTGCGACATATTAACTAATTTGGGAAAATAAATTAACGCCGAGCGACTCGAATCGTCGACGTCCAGAACCTTTCCTATAAGCCTGTGGCGGCGACATCTATATGCCCCACAGATATCCGACGGATGTAGGAAATCATTACTCACTATCCTCAAGAGATGGCGTTACCTGCACTGCGATCAATATTAGTATGGAAGCCTACATCGCACAAATGAAATTCGGAGGATAACTCTTCATATATACGATGCCCGACCAACATCAGTCTGGCCGCGGCCCCCGAGCTACCATCACCCAGCTCGGAGGAAGATCTTCCCCTTTGGCCTTCCTACAAGCCTGATCTTTTGACCCTGCGTAGGGATGTAGCTTCGCTCTGCATCTTCTATCCCATTAATCACGGGGAGTGATCAGATAAATTGTTCAAATGAATTCTAGCTGCTGTTCTTCGCCATTTGTATATCAGGGTCAGTCCGCAGTGTTTCCGGACCAATACGATCCGAAAACTTAGTTTCTGAGTGATTCTCATGACCGTGTTCCCCGTTCAACGGACAATCTCCTTCTGCATACTCCCGTCCATTCTTCTGGCTTCGTCTTCTACTCTTTCACTGTCACGGCTGTACGACTCTGGAATGACTTACCCCCCAATATACGTAAAGCTCCTAACAAAATTGCATTTAAGGGATTGGTTCGTGAGCACTATCTCAATAGCATTAAACAGCGTTCTCATATTTGACTGACATAACCATGTACTTATGTATGTATTGTATATATGTATGTGTGTGTATATGTATATATATATATATATATATATATATATATATATATATATATATATATATATATATATATATATATATGTGTATAATATGTATGTATTCTGTTAAGAGTATTTGTATCATTGATTTATCTTAAGTTTGTCTTTATTGCGCCCTCGTCATATTAGTTTTTTCTCACACTCTTACTGGTCGGCTGGTAGAGAATACCTTATGGCATTATGTCCGCTATTTGCTTTGTAATTTTGCAATAAAGTTCAAATAAATGAAACTTAAAAAAAAGAGCGAGGTCCTTCTTTAAAGGCAGGCGTTGCATTACAGGCGTGACAGGCTTGCCAGCAAGATAATATAATAGAAGGTATGGCACTCCCAGTGATAATAGGTCACGCGGGTGACACAAGTTTAATCATAACGTCATCATCATCATCATCAAACCAGGCTCTCTGAAAATTATTGTCTATGGAAGATCTGAAATGAGAAGTAGAACAACACACAGGCGTGACAGGCCTGCCAGCATTCGGTCATTGGATTTGTGACCAAAAATTTACTATCTCGAGCTCCTCCGTGCTTCGGAAGGCACGTTAAGTCGTTGGTTTCGGCTGCATTTGCAGTCGTCAGCAACCATCAATCCTCACTGGGCCGGCGTGGTGGTCATGGCCCAATCTCCCTATTCCATCAATAGAGAAGGCCTGTGCCCCATCCCCACTGCTGGACATTAACTTTTATGTTTGATAATTACTTACTCTCAGTGAATTTACGGTACCATGTAGGGACTATAAACAATAGTCTTAAGTCTTAGAAATAGAAAACATATTGTAACCGTATTTTATCCCTTATAAAATAAAATTAAAATTATTAATACAACATCCAGGTAGTCCAAAGACTTTTCCAAATTTATTTATCTTAACGACTGAGAAAAGAAATACTTACTATACTTACTTTTTTTTCTATGAATCTAAACTAAGTAAGGCATTATGTTGTACGATAAACAATTTATAAATATTCCAACTAATTTTGCGTGCTCCAGAGAAAAAAAACAGGTAGTAAATTTAAGAACTGCAAACTCATTCTTTATTATCATACAATGGATTTTTTCTCACTGAATAAATAAAAATGATCATCCTATTTAATTGAATAATGCTCATGCTCACTTGTATGAGATATATAGAAAAGAAAATGTATTTTTGTATTGCAAACAAAGTGTTTAATTTATAATAATTAAGCGTTAAAAAGAATTTAAATAAAACTGTGTAAAATGAAATAATAACTATTAGCTATGTGTAATATACAGGAATATTCATAGTTTTTTTTTTATATTTTTTGCTACGTCGTTGGTCGTTACACATATCAATAAACTAGCGGCCCGCCTTCGCTTCGCTTCGGTGTAGAGCTGAAGTGTAGTACACAGTTTTTGTTCTCAGGCTTGTATTATACACAATGACATTCATCTATGAATCTTCTTATACCTGCATGCAAAGTCTCAGCCCGATCGGTTTAAAATTGACAAAGTTTCATACAAACTTTCATTCCCTATTTTATTCCCTTGGGGGAAGAATTGATCAAAATCCTTTCTTAGCGGATGCCTACGTCATAACATCTACCTGCATGCCAAATTTCAGCCCGATCCGTCCAGTGGTTTGGGCTGTGCGTTGATAGATCACTATGTCAGTCAGTCAGTCACCTTTGAGTTTTATAAATATATATAGATGAGTGAAATACTGACCAAATAATAAGATGAACCGCAGGTCACAGTGCGTTGAGACTCCTTTTTGAGAAAAGTTTTTTTTTATACTTAATAGGCAAACCACATTTGACCACAATCTCGCCTGATGGAAAGCGATGATGAGGCCTAGGATGGTATACGCCTACCTAGAAGATGCCTGTTCGCTCTGGCCTTGAAGATGTTCAGATAATATTAATCCGGGAAAACAGACCTCGGCAAGGAGTTCCACTCCCTAACCGTTCGCATAATGAAAGCGGAAGCGAATTGCTTCGCGCGAATGGGAGGAACTTCGACAACATAAGGGTAAAAGCCCTCGCCACCCTTGGTCGTCCGGTGGTGGAATGGGGAACGTGGGATCAAATTATGTAATACCTCCGCACGCTCTTCGAAATGTAACCGATAAAACA